CAAAGTGCTGAGACTATAGGCATGAATCACTGTGCTCAGCCTTGTATTTCAATCAATCTAAGATACCATTAATTATAAAATGAACCGTTATTTTACATACCACTGAGAAAAGGAAAATACTTCCAATTAAACTACGATACTTTTCTTTTTCTTTTTTTTTTTTGAGATGGAGTTTCACCATGGTGGCCAGGCTGGTCTCCAACTCCTGACCTCAGGTGATCCACCGGCCTTGGCCTCCCAAAGTGCTGGGATTATAGGCATGAGCCACCACGCCCAGCCAAACTATGATACTTTTCTAATCACTTATTTTTTAAAAAGTTACTGAAAGAGCTTTTAGAATTAGACATATTTACAGCATGTTTATTTACTTAGAAAAATATAAGCAAAATAAGTTGATCCAGGGATTCCTAAAACGTCTTCATACCCTTGTAATATTCAGTAACACTAACTCAGTCAACAATATCCATGCTTTTCTATGCAACTCTGTCCTTTGTGCCATCAAACATGTTAGTGATACAGCATTAAAACAAAAAGGCCGGTCATGGTGGCTCATGCCTGTAATCCCAGCACTTTGGGAAGCTGAGGTGGGCAGATCACGAGGTCAGGAGATCGAGGCCATCCTGGCCAGCATGGTGAAATCCCGTCTCTACTAAAAATACAAAAATTAGCTGGGCATGGTGGCATGTGCCTGTAGCCCCAACTACTCAGGAGGCTGAGGCAGGAGAATTGCTTGAACCCGGGAGGCGAAGGAGGTTGCAGTGAGGCGAGATTGCGCCACTGCACTCCAGCCTGGAGACAGAGCGAGACTCCTCTGTCTCAAAAAAAACAAAAAACAACAACAAATAAACCAATTCAGCCGGGCATGGTGGCTCATGCCTGTAATCCCAGCACTTTGGGAGGCCAAGGCGGGCGGATCACAAGGTCAAGAGATCGAGGCCATCCTGGCCAACATGGTGAAACCCTGTCTCTACTAAAAATACAAAAATTAGTTGGGCATGGTGGCATGTGCCTGTAGTCCCAGCTACTCCAGAGGCTGAGGCAGGAAAACAGCTTGAACCGGGAAGCAGAGGTTGCAGGGAGCTGAGATCATGCCATTGCACTCCAGCCTGGTGACAGATTGAGACTCCACCTCAGAAAAAAAAAAAAAAAAAAAAAAAAAAAAAAAAAAAAAAAAAAAAAAAAAAAACCAAAAAACAATTCAACTGGGCAGCTCATGCTTGTAGTCTCAGCACTTTGGGAGGCTGAGGTGGGAAGATCATTTGAGCTCAGGAGTTCAAGACCAGCCTGGCCAACATGGTAAAACCTCATCCGTACTAAGATTACAAAAATGAGCTAGGTGTGGTGGCAGGAGCCTGTAATATCAGCTACCTGGGAGGCTGAGGCAGGAGAATCTCTTGAACCTGGGAGGCAGAGGCTGTAGTAAGCCAAGATTGTGCCATTGCACTCCAGCCTGGGTGACAGAGTGAGACCCTGTCTCAAAATAAAAAAAATAAACAAACGAACAATTCAAAAAAATAAAAAATAAACAAACGAACAATTCATAAAAGAAACTAAAAGCCATTGGTCAGTGCCCTTAAGCAGACTTTGAAATTATGCAGAGCTTTCCTATTTTTAAAAGCCTCTCCAACTTTCCCTTATTTGCTCTCCATTCAATTCTAGGGGTTAAAATAATGTTCTACTACTGTCTCTGGGGTTTTCTCTGAGGTTGCTGATGCCCCTTCTTTTTATTTCATTTTAATTTTTCTAACACCTACCTCTTACACAGAAATGATGCCCCCTCTGCATGTTTTGATGCTGGCACTTTTGAGGCTGGCACAGATGTAAGCAGTGAGAACTATGCCACACCTACCTCCTTGCCCACAGCTGATAACCACATACAGCAAAGCACTGATTTCAGAGATGAGAAAAAACAGGTGTCTTAGAAACACGGTACTCTCCACTCATCCTCCGGAACCCTTCCATAACCTTTAGACCCTGTATCTGTGGATCCACACAGGCCCTCAAGAGCCATGTCAGGCTCCTTGAGGGGAAAAAGTCACTTTGCTTTTTTCTTCTCTCGTTAAAAACAACATAAACTAGACTTCCGAACCATTAATAATGTAGAGAGCTTAGAGACGCTGTCCAAGATGAGCTGACCAAAGCAGAGGCAAGGCTGTTTGTGACTTCAGCACTTCCCCCATTAGCCATTGCAAAGCCACCTTCCAGCACTTGGTCTAACCTTAATCAACAACCACTGCTTCCTTTGCTTCCTGTACAGTTTCCTGGATAGGCTGACACCAGTCTGGCTCTATGCTCAAAGTTAGAAAATAAAAGTAGTGCCGGGAGCGGTGGCCACTTTGGGAGGCCGAGGCGGGTGGATCACGAGGTCAAGAGATTGAGACCATCCTGGTCAACATGGTGAAACCCCGTCTCTACTAAAAATACAAAAAATCAGCTGGGCATGGTGGCACGTGCCTGTAATCCCAGCTACTCAGGAGGCTGAGGCAGGAGAATTGCCTGAACCCAGGAGGCGGAGGTTGCGGTGAGCCGAGATCACGCCATTGCACTCCAGCCTGGGTAACAAGAGTGAAACTCTGTCTCAAAAAAAAAAAACACACACACACACACACACACACACACACACACAAAAGAAAATAAAAGTAGTTTGTTGCAATAAGGGCTGAGATTTTAAGATACAGCATAAGAAATACTGGAACTCAGCTGGACTGAGTTCCAGTCCAGCCTGTGATCACTTCAAAGCTAGGGCAGGCCGGGAGCAGTGGCTCATACCTGTAATCGTCGCTGTTTGGGAGGCTGAGGCGAGTGTATCATCAGAGGTCAGGAATTCTAGACCAGCCTGGCCAACATGGTGAAATCTTGTTTCTACTAAAAACACACACAAAAAATTAGCCAGGAGTGGTAGTGCATGCCTGTAGTCTCAGCTACCTGGGAGGCTAAGGCGGGAGGCTCGGTTGAACCGGGGAGGCAGAGGTTGCAGTGAACTGAGATTGTGCCACTGCATTCCGGCCTGGGCAACAGAGTGAGACTTTAAAAAAAAAAAAACCTAGGACAAACTGTACTACTTCTTTGTTTTTTTTTAATTTTTACGAAATGTGGGGTTCTGCTATGTTGCCTACGCTGGCCTTGAATTCCTGGGCTCAAGCAATCCTCCTGCCTTGCCCTTCCTAAATGCTAGGATGACAGGTGTGAGCTATCATATCTAGGTGCAACTATTTTTTTGTCATTTACTCAATCATTTAGAAATGTATCTCCAGGTCTTGAGATGACATTTGCATTGGCAACTCTCAACTTCTCAGTTTTAGGCATTCGCTATTGAGTTCCCACAAGGAAAGATGATTTAGCTTCTTCTCTCCCTCCACTCCTCCCACCATCCCGTCATATACGCAATACCTTTCTCATTACCCCCAGTAGAGCTAAAATCTTTTTTCGGTCAGTCAACATTCAGTGTTCATATAATTAAGACTATATAAATCCTATTCACAACTCTGGTGACTTTTTGTTATCACTTTTCCTTACTTTTCATTTCTCTGCAGTTATTATTTGCTTAGTTTTCTAAGTACTTATACAATTTCATCAAAGAGCTGCTGTTCCAGTTCCTCAAAATTTCACATTTAAAAGCATAAGATCTAGTCAAAACCTTGTTCGTTGAAATAGTGCCCCTAGGCTGGGCATGGTGGCGCACACAGGTAATCCCAGCACTTTGGGAGGCTGAGGTAGGTGGATCACCCGAGGTCAGTAGTTTGAAGCCAGCCTGGCCAGCATGGTGAAACCCCTTTTCTACAAAAAATCCAAAAAATTAGCTGGACACGGTGGCACACGCCTGTAATCCCAGCTACTCGGGAGGCTGAGGCAGGAGAATTGCTTGAATCCAGGAGGCGGAGGTTGCAGTGAGCGGAGATCATGCCACTACACTTCAGCCTTGGCGACAGAGCAATATTCTGTCTCAAAAAAATATATATATATATTGTCTCTAATAGTGAAAAAGTCAAAGTAAGCCAAATATCCAGCAACAGGGAACTGGTTAAATACAGTACCGCAGTTTCATGATGTGAAATACTTTGGAGACCTCAAAAAGAATAAGGCTGATTAATAAGTATTGATATATATATAGATAGATAGATAGATAGATACATAGATATATATATAACTAAGCCTTCAATTTCTATTATGTCTACCTATAACTCTGTAATACCCAGCTATACATGTTTGGCTTGTAGGCCGATCAATCATCTTAGAGATGTCTGAAGAGATTCAGCTTTGAAAGAAGGAAAACCAGAAGTTTCATACTTCTAAAGGAAAATGTTTTCAGAAAATCAGTGAAAAGGAGTGATTATAAATGAAGCATTTCTTTATAATCTCTCAAAGCAAATACTAAATTACAGTTTCCTCTGAGTACTGATGAAAAAAGTTTAAAAAGAAATAAATAAATTACAGACAGTAAGATGCTTCAATTTCATCCCGGACAGCTGCAGGACGGCGCATTCTCTAAGGGGACAAGCCCAGGGGGCGTGACTCCAGCCAGAGCTCGTTTTGGAAGGCCGCTTAACCAATAAGCTCCTTGGTTTCCAATGCTCAGCATAAAAATGCCGCCCTTTCCGTTCCTACAGTGCTGTGATGCAAACGCCGCGACAGCTTTGGGTTACCTACATTAACAGCGCGCGGCCTTCAAGGCTCCTAAAAGGACTTTCACAAACACCTTCCATCAGGCCAGGACTGCAGGTGTGACGGGGACAGAGGCAGGCTGCCCCCAGGCCTCTGGACACTGTGTCAGGGCGCACACGCCGACAGCGTGGCTTTCCGGGGGCCGGGGACGTCTGGGAGAAGCTGACTGAAACAGAAGATCGATTCCCTAGGCCCTAGGAGATGAAACGTCCCACCTCTGAGGGTTCGCGAGTCCTTAGGATCCAAGCTGGGCTCCCCACGGCCGGGGCCGCTAGCTCCACATCCCCGTTCCCACCCCATCCCCCTCTCTGCCACAGGCCCAGGCGAGAACCACGCACCGAAACAAACGGGACGCGCAGGCGATCCCCCTGCAGCCGGTTGAAGGCGGGGAACGTGCTCCAGGCGAGGAACCCGCCGCTCTCAGGTCCCAGCAGCGCCACGAGCAGCACCTGGTGCTGGAAGCGCACGGTCGGCTGCTCCTCATAGCTGCTCCGCTTCAGCCAAAACCCTGAGTTAAAGAGGGCGGTGAGGAGGCAGTCAGGGAGGCCGGCCCCGGCCGAGCGCACCCGGGGAGCCGCGTGGTACAACGGCCGGGGCAGGCTCACCGTGGCTCCGGAAGGCCACCAGCAGCGGCGGGATGTACGTGAGCGCCGCGGCCAGCAGCAGGAACAGCGCGGCTTTGGAGCAGAGTCCAGCGCGGTAGCTGCGCTCTACCGGGTGAGAGAAGAGCTCGTAGAGCGCCATGAGCTCCGCGCCCTGGCACGCCGCGAACCAGGTGACCAAGTTTGGCTTCTCCTGGTTGCCATCGCCTCGGTCTCACGGCAACCGAAGGCGCCCGGAAAGGAGCCAATAGCAAGGACGCACGGAAAGAAACCCGTGACGGGGGCGGGGTTAGCAGGGGCGGTGGCCGCCCAGGAGACGGTCGGCCCCTTTTTGGCGCTGAGTGCTTTTGCGTTACGGCTGGGCGGCGATAGAATGTTTCGTGGACCAGAGTCGTGTCTGTTGTCTGTGTTAACTTTTGTGTAAAATAAGATGCCCATAAAAGTTGACTTGAGGCCGGGCGCGGTGGCTCACGCCTGTAATCCCAGCACTTTGGGAGGCTGAGGCGGGTGGATCAGGAGGTCAAGAGATCGAGACCATCCTGGTCAACGTGGTGAAACCCCGTCTCCACTAAAACTACAAAAAATTAGCTGGGCATGGTGGCGCGTGCCTGTAATCCCAGCTACTCAGGAGGCTGAGGCAGGAGAATTGCCGGAACCCAGGAGGCGGAGGTTGCGGTGAGCCGAGATCGCGCCATTGCACTCCAGCCTGGGTAACAAGAGCGAAACTCCATCTCAAAAAAAAAAAAAAAGTTGACTTGAACACTGTGGAGGAAAAGATAAATATTAAATTTTAACTCAATTGAACATGGACAAAACGGTCACCAAGTCCCGTACAGGTTTTGTGAGCCCCTTGAGGTGTTCATCCAGCGAAGTGTCGGAGAAATCTCTATTTCAATCTATTCCTCTAGGTTAGTTATTGAAAAACAATCGCAAAAACAAGATCTTTTAATGTTTCCTGAGATAAGTGGTGAAGGATCCTCGTGACTGGGCCTCATGCCAAACAACTTGTTACCAAAAGAGCTAGGGTCTCAGACCACGCCAGAGCTTTATGAGACCTCTCCTTGTCTGCAGGAACGTTGCTTCCCAGTCTGGAGGTGAATCCTGCATAGTCGCGTGTGTGTAATGTCTGACTGGAGCCCAGGCTGTTGCTTCCCAGCCTGGTGGTAAGTCCTCCCTAGTCTGGTGAGTGTAAATATGTATATGTCTTTTTCCTTCTCCCCTTCCCATTGCAATTTGCTTATTATATCAATCTGCTTAGTATATTAATTTGCTTATTTTATCCGCATTGCCATTTACGTGGGATAAAGCTTGTTTACACTTAAAGGTATTGTGTGTGTGCGCCTTTTCTTCTCCCCTTGAGTGTGTCCTGCACAGAACAAACATCTGCTTTTGTGTTATCTGTTAACCCCCAGTGTGGTTCCTACTGAAGTCCATCCAGTTACAAACCTGGCCGCGGTCCTGGACCTGGTCCTGGGCTAAGACCAAAGCCAGGTGCCTTTACCCCCAAATTTTCTGTTGCTTCCACTATGCTCCAATGTAAGACAGACACGGAAACACAAATCCCCTGGCTCTTCGAGGGACAGAGTGGAATTACTACAAAGCTCTGATGCACTTCGTTAACCTTGTGTTGGGTACAAGCTCAGCCATGAGTTTTACAGGAAGCTATGGTCCTCCCTAAAGATCACTGGTTTATTGCTTAATTGAATGCTTACATCCCCTCACTGTCCCCGACCAATATTTCAAACATGGTAGAAGGACTTTTTTTTTTTAATCTATGGTCCACAGCCAAGTTCTTCATCAAATGGCCCTGAATGGCTGGGCGTGGTGGCTAACACCTGTAATCCCAGCACTTTGGGAGGCCAAGGTGAATGGGTCACCTGAGATTTGGAGTTCGAGACCAGCCTGGCCAACATGGTGGAACCTCATCTCTACTAAAAATACAAAAATTAGCTGACCATGATGGCAGATGCCTGTAATCCCAGCTACTCTGGAGGCTGAGGTGGGAGAATCGCTTGAACCCAGGAGGCAGTGGCTACAGTGAGCCGAGATGGTGCCACTGCACTCCAGCCTGGGTGACAGAGCAAGACTTGGTCTCAAAACAGAAAAACAAAAAACAATAAGGGTGTGATAGAATGTTAGGAATAATTAAAAAAAAAAAAGAAGAAAGAAAAAAAACCAAAGCAATAAGGGGTTCTGGGGTTCAGTGTTTTATCATGCAAACAAAGCCTCCAGGCTTCAAAGAGAACAGATTGTAAATGTTTCTTATCAGACTTAAAGAGTCTATTCTGTTACTATCAGCCTTACTGTCTCTCTGTTGATGTTAATATTGGTCAGCTGGGTCTGAATTCCAAAAAGAGGAGGGTATAATGAGGCATGTCTGACTCTCCCCTTCCGGTCATGGCCAGAGCTAGCTTTTCAGGTTAACTTTGGAATACCCTTGTCTGAGAGAAGGGTTCCATTGAGATGGTTGGGGGCTTAGAACTTTTTTTGTTTTTTGAGACAGAGACTGAGTCTTGCTCTGTCACCAAGCTGGAGTGCAGTGGCACGAACTTGGCTCACTGCAACCTCTGCCTCCTGGGTTCAAGTAATTCTCCAGCCTCAGCCTCCTGAGTAGCTGGGACTACAAGCATGCACTACTATGCCCAGCTAATTTTTGTATTTTTAGTAGAGACGGAGTTTTACCATGTTAGCATGGTCTCTATCTTTTGACCTCATGATCCACCTACCTCTGCCTCCTAAAGTGCTGGAATTACAGGCATAAGCCACCGCGCCTGGCCTGGGAGCTTAGAATTTTATTTTTGGTTTACAGTACACCAGGATAGGGTCATTGAGTGAGGGGTGAGGAAAAACAGAAGTCAGGGAGACCAATCAAGAGGTTGTTGAGGCCAGGTGTGGTGGCTCAGCTTAGCATTTTGGTCAGAGGTGTTTGAACCAGAGAGACTCCCATATTGAATGGGGGCTGGGTAAAATAAGGCTGGGACCTACTGGGCTGTCTTCCCAGGAGACTAGGCATTCCTGGTCATAGTATGAGCTACGAGGATGACATAAGATACAGGTCACAGAGACCCTGTGGATAAAACAGGATGTGGTTAAAAAGAAGCCAGTAAGGCCGGGCGCAGTGCCTCACACCTGTAATCCCCGCATTTTGGGAGGCTGAGGTGGGCAGATCACCTGAGGTCAATAGTTCGAGACCAGCTTGGCCAACATGGTAAAACCATGTCACCACTAAAAATACAAAAAAATTTAGCTAGGTGTGGTAGTGGGCACCTGTAATCCCAGCTGCTTGGGAAGCTGAGGCAGGAGAATTGCTTGAACCTGGGAGATGGAGGTTGCAGTAAGCCAAGACTGTGCCATTGAACTCCAGCCTGGGTGACAAGAATGAAACTCTGCCTTCAAAGAAAAAAGCCAGCCAAAAGCCACCAAAACCAATATGGCCTTGAATGTGAACTTTGGTCATCCTCACTGCTCATCATATGCTCATTGTAATGCATTAGCATGCTAAAAGAAACTCACACTAGTGCCATGACAGTTTACAAATGCCATGGCAATGTCCTGAAGTTACCCTATCTAGTCTAAAAAAGGGAGAGACCCTCAGTTCTGGGGAAATCTCTGCCCTTTTCCTGGAAAACTCATGAATAATTTAACCCTTGTTTAGCATATGGATCAAGATAAATTTATTCAGTTGAGTAGCCCATACTGCTGCTCTGCCTATGGAGTAGCTATTTTTTTTTTTCCCATTTATTTATTTTATTGCATTTTAGGTTTTGGGGTACATGTGAAGAACATGCAAAATTGTTGCATAGGAACACACATGGCAGTGTGATTTGCTGCCTTCCTCCCCATCACCTACATCTGGCATTTCTCCCCTTGCTATTGTTGTATTTGACCGGAGTGTAGAAAGTTACCACAAGACAAAAGTACGCCAGATTGCAGGGTCATTTGTTATGCTGGTGACCACAGAGGACTCACGTCTCTCCAACCTGTGGTGCCAAAAGGAGGGTGCCATGATTTTTTATACCCGAAAAACCACCTTGGGAGTGGGGGTGAGGGGCGGGGATGGGGATGATAAGGTTTCGGACATTTCAAGGGCTAGGGGATTCTGTGATTCACCTCCTGGGTGGAGACAAGGGCGGGGGTCTCCGGACATTCCAAGGGCTAGGGGATTCTGTGATTCACCTCAGTGGTTTACAGAAGTCAAGATATACATTTGTTTACACATAACAGATTTTAGCAGTTACTGATAAGAAAAGGTAAGCAGCTTTACGTAGTTTTGAAGAACAAACTAGCAGTTCTATTTACAGAGGCCAAGGACAGCAGTTATTGTAAGGAGAATGGGGCAGCCATTTCAACTTATCTAAAAACAGTTTTGCATTTTATAAAATAGTTTTGCTCCGGTTCTGGCTCTAGGCCAGCACAATATCACACTATCTCTTCCCAGCTTCCCACCCGGAGTAGCTATTTTTTTACTCTATCGACTTGCCCCAAATTCTTTTTTGCGTGAGATCCAGAACCCCTTTCTGGTAACACTTTGGGAGGCCAACACATGAGGACTGCTTGAGCCCAGGAATTAGAGGTTGCAGTAAGCTGCGACTGCAGCTTGGGTGACAGAGCAAGACTCTGTCTGAAGAAAGAAAAAAAAAAGTCCTGGAAGGATCACACTGCAGTGTCAGGAGATAATGTGAGGTTTGTGCTGAGCGGAGTCCAGTAGTTGCTGCCACTGCTTTGAGAGCAACCTCGAAGTGGCTTTTAGATGAAGAGAACAGCTGACATCCTAACGACACAGACTAATAGCGAGGTCAAGACTGCCCATTTGGGAAAACTGTCCCAGGGTCCAAGGTGACAATGTCATCAGCCATAAAATGCTTTTGAAATAGTGGGTTCAGTACTACTGGTTCTTGATTAAAAGCTTTTCTGGAAAGGCAATGTAGGTTTTTTTTTTTAATTATTATTTTGTTTTTTTGAGACAAGGTCTCTCTCCGTCTACCTCCTGGGCTCAAGTACTCCTCCCACCTCAAGTACTCCTGAATAGCTGGAGCTACAGGCATGTGCCACTATGCCTGGCTAATCTTTTTTTATAGATGGCGTTTCACTTGTCGCCCAGGCTGGAGTGCAATGGCATGATTTCAGCTCACCGCAACCTCCGCCTCCCAGGTTCAAGCGATTCTCCTGCCTCAGCCTTCCGAGTAGCTGGGACTATAGGCGCGTGCTACAACGCCTAGCTTATTTTTGTATTTTTAGTAGAGACGAGGTTTCACATGTTAGCCACGATGGTCATGATCTGACCTCATGATCAGCCTGCCTTGGCCCCCCAAAGTGCTGGGATTACAGGCGTGAGCCACTGTACCCAGCTGTGCCCGGCTAATCAAAAAAAATTTGGGGTGGCCGGGTGCTGTGGCTCATGCCTGTAATCCCAGCACTTTGGGAGGCCAAGGCGGGTGGATCACG